GTTCAGATAATAATATTAAATTGAGAGTTCAACAATCATCCCTAAGATTAAATGAATAAATTTGAGCAGCAGCACTAAAAAGTTTAACTAATACTCATAAAATGAATTGAACAGCTCTATGATATCTCTGGTATAGTTATTCCTCTTTCACCTGATTTTTTCCACTATTTGACATTAATTGCATAGCATATAAGTAATATGAGCAGTCATTAGACTAAGTAATTAGATAATTCATTTAAGGAACTTGTAGGACGACATCAATGTACTTGACATGATCTAAGACAAAAGGCACTATTAAAAGCACCTAAACTATTTTGCTAAAACAAAAAATCAATCAGTGCAGCGAAAGAAAAAGGAACTGATGTCTGATGACCTATACCTGTTATGCAGTGAAAACTTAACAAATGATACACCTTAAGAACTACAACACCATGACTTCAGCTTTACTAAATGACAGAACAAAAAATTTTCATAACTTCTACAAGACCATAATTGCTATTAAAGTAGGGCAACAACAGAAAAAAATGCAAAGCTGGTGCAAATCTAATAAAGAGATGGAAAATGAAAAATAAAGATATACTATACGACAGATCAAAAATCATCATAAACCATACAATTCCATAGTTGCTGCTAAAGTATGGTAACAGCAGCAAAATGTGAAAAGGTGGTGCAAAACTGATAAAGAAACAGTAAATAGAAAAAGAAGGAAAGATCTCCTGACAAAACAATAAAAATTTTACAACTTAGATTCGATTAATAGCATAAAACAAAAAGTTAATAAAAGACAAAAGTGACAACCAAAAGGCGCATGAATTTCCGAAGCCACGTGGTTAGTTTGCCTATCTTACCTAAACCATTAAAAAAAATAAAAAGTGCATGTACATATCATACCAACTACAAAATTGATATATACATGATTCTCTTAAGGAAAGTTGACTTTGATCCAACTCCTAATGAGACTTGACTTACATTTAAAATGAAAGGGAATGAGTGCTGTAACAGAAAATCCCTACTATTAAACACCAACACGTCAACATATAATGATTGTTGTAACAGAAAAGCTAAACTTAAAAAATGCATAAGATATCCAAGAAGTGAATGAAACATGTGTACAGCTGTCACATATCCCACAAGAAATGTTGATAAAGATATGGTACCATCCTACTCCCATGATTTAAAAAGATAGTATATGGAAGATGTGATGAGTTTACTGCAACTGAAAAAATATTGAATGTATGTTCTGTGACAGACAAGAAAAAAAGAATGCTGGAAAAAGGTTAAGCTCACTTGTAGTAGTCCCAAAAGCAATGTGATACATAAAGTGAAGAGATGCTTGAAATCCGAACAGCACATTGAAGATTAAAAAAATGCAAAAACCAATACACTAAAAATCATACAACCGAGAAAGGTGGAAAAAGTAAAAAGATAAAAGAAAAAACCAATGGTTCATACTCTATAAAACCCTGCATAATGCATATCCTGACAAAAAGAAAAGTTTCACAGATCAGCACCTTGATTTTCATAACCAGCACGCATAAAGTAACTCAGAAAGTGTAGAATAGAAAACAATAAATCAAATAGGCTATACTCTCCCACAATATAAATGTAAGAACCACTGTATCTTACACAATTAAAAAGGCATTCAAAGATGTCTAAACAACTATGAACTTTTTATCATGTCAACATCATGTGTAATGGAAATAAAAACAACAACAACAACAAGCTTTTATCTCACTAGGTGGGGTCGCCTACATGGATTGCAACACGCCATTATACTCTATCATTTATCAAACTTTTAGGAATATTATTAATTAAGAGATTGTGTTCAACAACTTCCAAGAGTGTTCTCTTAGGCCTTCCTCTACCCCTTTTAACAGGGCCTAAAGTTATATATTATGCTCCTCACTGGTACCTCCTGTTGTCTTCTTTGTATATGCCTAAATCATCTCAAATGATTTGCTATCATTTCTTCCTTAATAGGTGCTACCCTCACTTTTTCGCATACATACTCATTTCGAATTTTATCTTTACGTGTATGTCCGCAAATCCATCATAACATTCTCATCTCTGCTACTCCAATTTTATGCTCTTGTTGTCCTATTAAAGCCTAACATTTACTACTATATAATATAGTTGGTCTGATAGCAGTACGATAAAACTTTCCTTTAAGTTTATTAGGCACCATACAGTTGTAAATAACTCCTTTAGCTTTTCTCCAATTAAACCATCTAGTTTAAATCCTATGTGAGATATCCCCACTGATTTCGCCATCATTTTGAATAATGGCTTCCAAATATCAAAACTTTTTCACTTGAGGTATAATTTGATCTTCTAATTTCACTTCCAAATTACTGTCGACTAGTCTCTTACCAAATTTACAATATAAATATTCTGTCTTACTCCTACTCAGATGAAAATCTTTCAACTCTAATGTCCTCCTCCATAACTCAAGTTTACAATTAATCTCTTGTCTAGTCTCTACTATAAAAACTATATCATTTGCGAAGAGCATACGTTTAGGAATTTTTCCTTGAATATGTTCCATCAAAACATTTAAGATCTAGTTAAACAAATAATGACTCAAAGATAATCCCTGATGTAATCCAATCTTTATAGAAAAGTCCTTTATTTGACCACTAGTTGTTCTTATACTAGTTTTTACCCCCTCATACATATCTTGTATGACTTTAATATAAGCAATCCATACTCCCTTCTTTTTCAAGGCTTTTCAAAGCACTTTTCTTGGTATACAGTCATAAGCTTTTTCCAAATCAATAAAAGCCATGTGTAAATCTTTATCTTTACAACGATACTTTTCTATTAATCCCTTTAATAGATAAATCGCCTCTGTAGTCAATCTACCTGACATAAACCAAACTGATTCTTAAAAATACTTGTCTCCAATCTTAACCTATGCTGAATTACTTTCTCCCACAATTTCACTGTATGGCCCATGAGTTTAATCTCTCTATAGTTCGTATAATTCTGAATATTCCCTTTATTTTTATAAATAGGAATTAATGTACTTCTCCTCCACTCATCTAAACATTTCTACATTTCAATAGATATACAATCAAGTTTGTTGGCTTTATCATTTGTTATTTTCTAAGAACTTCCTTGACTTCCTTATCATGTGTTATTCGATAGAATAACAAATTTTGTTTTCCTTCATAAGTTACTAAATCCTCTAAGTTACTAGACGAATCCTCTCTATCATTGAAAAGTTTGAAAAAGTAAGTCTCCCATTTATTTTTAATTTCATCATCTGTAACTAAAATTCTTCCCTCTTCATCCTTTATACACCTTATATGTTCTAGATCTTTAGATTTTCTTTCCTTACTCTTAGCAATCTTATAAATATTTCATTCTCCTTCCTTCGTTTTAAGGCTCTTATAAAATTCTTTAAAAGCTTTAAAACGAACTTTACTCACATTTTTTTAAATTTTCTTCTTAGTCGTACAGTACCTCTTCCAACTTTCTTCATTGTTATACAAAAATATGGCTTTAAAGCAACTCTTCTTATATTTGATTTTGTCTTGTACACTATTATTCCACCATCAAGACTCCTTATCTCTTGGACTAGAACCTTTTGATTCTTCCAAAACTACTTTTGCAACCTTTCTTATCTTTTTAGCCATATCCTCCCACATGATGTTAGCACTTCCTTGAGATTTTTAAATTTCTTTATTCAAAAGATTTCGCTTGAAAATATCTTGCCTCTCACCTTTTAATTGTCACCACCTAATCTTTAGTGCTATTACTTGTTAACGTTTTTGAATTTTACTCATAATATACACATCAAGGACAAGGACCCTATGTTGTGTCGGTACAGCATTCCCCAAAATCACCTTGCAATTTTTACAGAGTCTTCTATCTGTGTTCTTAACCAAAAGAAAATCAATCTTTAACCTTGAGGCTCTACTTTTGTAAGTGATGATATGTTTATCTCTCTTCTTAAAACAAGTGTTGGCAATTTTAAAATCATACGCCAACAAAAAATCAAGAAGAGTTTGTTTTTCATCATTTAGCTCTCCAAAACCAAAACTACCATGCACCCATGCATACTAATCAACCTCTCTCTTGACATGCCCATTAAAGTCTCTTCCAATGAAAATCTTTTCACTCTATAATAGATGTTGAATCAACCCTTCCAAGTCCTCCAAAATAATTCCTTAACACTAGCATAAGCGCTAACAATATTAACAGTCTCACATCCAACTATCATTTTTAAGGAAATAATTATGTCTCTAATTCTACTAACTTCTATAATATTCTTCTTCCACTCCTTATCAATAATAATGCCTACTCTATTGTGTGTGCTTACTTTTTCTGTATACTAAAGTTTGAAACCTTGAATATCCTTAGCTTCTTCTCCACGCCATTTTGTTTCTTGCAAGCATAGGATATTGATTTTCCTTTAAATCATAACCCCTACAACCTTTACAGATTTACAATTCAATGTTCTAACATTCCAAGTACCAAATCTAATTTTGCTCTCATGGACTAACCTCTTTAACCACACACGTCCAAATGACGCGTTAGCCCTTGCTCATTTAACACCACATCCGATAATCAATGCAATGGCTCTAACTCATCACTATACTTGAGCCATGCAGCGTGTTACTTATGAGCAATAACCTAGCATTAGCATTATAATGTTTATTGTCTTTGTTTATGATAGATTCAACAAAGTTTTACGTTAACTATTAATGGCCTAACACAACTCTCCTCCTTTACCCAGTCTTGGGACTAGTTATAAATATAGGCGGAGTTGTAATGGAAATAAAAAGAAAGAAAGAAAGAAATCCAAATAGTATCTATAAATTATGTATAAAACTTGTCCTCGATCGAGTATTGCTTTAGATTAATTAATCAAAATTTCGTTAACTCAAGCATCTTTGTTTGGACAACAATAACTTGAACGAACTATATACATTACTAATATCCAACACAAAGCCAATAAACTCAAAGATCAAGATTTTATTAACTTGTGGAACATATACAAACAAATAGGTGCAATAATAATACATAATACAAGTAAGACTGCAAAACCATTTACATAATTTACAACAGATGATGGAGCACTTTTGTTTCTCGCTTGATGGTTGCATTTCAATGGAACGAAATCATTTTCCCTACTTGAAGTTTCCTGACTATTCTTGGAAGAAGAGAATGAAGCTTGGATAAATGGTATAATTAGTACAGGAAGAATCTAATGGAACATTGGTTTTGATGGAAAAGTCGTGATAAGGCTAGGAAGACAGCAAGTAGAGGAGGTGTTGAATAGTCATCATCACTCTGGCTCTGCATTAAACAGCCATGATTGTGTCTTCATACACAAAGAAGCGCCATTTTAAAGATGCGTATCTGGTGCTCATCCCCTTGGATGAGGACACAATCTGAATGTCTAGAACATATAATCAAAGAAAGAAGCAAAAAAGAGCTCATCGACACCCAGCACCTAAAAACAAAAAGAAAGAGGAAATAATTTAATTTTAGACTCCATTGCAAGCTAGAAATAGTTGTCACATGAACGTATGCACAACTGTGGTAAAATATCTTAAGACTTATCAATGGAGTTAGAGGTTCTGTGCATAGCACACTCCATATCCCCCCAGAGGCACTAACAATAATAAACCAAAAGCCGAGCTAACATTAATTAGTGTCTAGAGAAATTGTTAGCCTTCTAAATTATCTTACCTGTTACAAGCTGATATTTCTATTGCACCCTGATGCAGAAATTTAATTGCTTAACTCATGAAATCAAATAAGAAATATAACTTGAAAATAGACTAATAAAGGAAAGTGCATAAGCATTGGCATGAAATCCATTACAAGAAGCCGGCACTATTTATTAATCTAGGGCTATATGAACACTAAATACAGCTTTGTGAACAGTAAATAAGAGAGGAGCCATTAGAGAATAATAAATTAACTTACATCTTATTTTGTATTCTATAAGTGTACTTAGGTGAAAAACACTAATGATCGAACGAATTCCCCAAACTCAATAACCCCATTGCGCTTGAGATCGAACATATAAAAAATCTATTAAAAAGTCACAAGCATGGAGACATGGGTTAGACTGTTAGAATGGGACAGTACAAGTGCCAATCTTGACAAGTTATTAACTTTTACATAAGCTATTATGGCTATCATTGTCTTGTAGATGTTAGCTTATAAACACTACATAAAAGTAAACATTATAAACCACTTCAAATAATAAACTGAAGTCCTCAAGAACCTTATTAAGGTCAGGGGAAATCATTCGTGAACTCTAGAGCAAGGATCAAATTGATATACCCTATCAACAAACAAATTCCTTCTGTTTCTATCCTTGAAGAGTGCAAGCTAGAATTCTTCCTGGAGGTAAAAATAATATGTATAAGTTAGCTATTTAACATATATTAAAAATCAAGTTCACGTTATTTTACTGAAAGCAGAATGAAAACTGATGAGCACTTAACTAACCTTGTGAATAAGTCCATTTGGAATAACTGAGTTACTTGCTTTCCTAAAGAGCTCATGTAAGGCCTCTACATCACATATGGAAACTGAATAAGGAAAGATAGATGCAGTATTCTTTTAATCAGTTCATAATAGTAACATCTTCATGAGAAAGTGCATTGAATATTATTATTTCATAATTTAGATTTTCAGTCGTTGTTGCCCATAAGTGCATTGAGATACTAAATGATATAAATTGCAAGGAAACCTCTAAAATATTGATACCAATAGATTTTTTTGTTTTTGTTTTTTACCTTTACCTGTGTTCTTAGTTTCCAAACCCAAATTTTCTGAAGCCAAAATGCAATTAACAAAGGATCAGAAAAAAGAGTCAAGATCATAACAAAAGAGACAAAGTAAAGAAAAAAGGAAAAAAAAAAAGAAAATCACCAAACTTGGACATACCACTTCCTTAATGATGCAGCAGAAGGAAGGGGAAGATTCACCAAAAGTAGAGCAATGTCATCTTTTCCACCACAAACACAAGCATGGCTATTGAAAACACTTTCATCAAAGAGGTTTTACAATTTGGAGCATCGTAGGTTAGATCGTATAAAGAAAGAAATAAAGCACGTGCATTTCCTATTTTGCACGGCTATTGAGCACATTTCATTAGGCAGTAGAAATGCAAACTAAAATCACAATAAGCAAAAGCAGAAGATGAAGCAAAATTGAAATGAGCATATGTCTGAGAAAAGAGAGCGAAAGGGGACTTACTTTTAAATTGATGATGAAATTTGTTTGACAGATTCTTGAGGAGGATGAGCAGGTAATCAAAATTGAAACCAATCAAATGGATAGGCCAAAGCAAGAGTGAGGATCATGGAAAATCATCAACGGTGGCTGAGATTCATCAACTATCTTTGAGAGAACCGAGCAAGGAACGAAAACAATGATGAGGAGGGGAGTAGCTCAAGTTGCAGAGGCAACAGGCGAGTCTTTTGAATAAAGGGCAGCAGGGAAGAGGCAGCAAGGAAGAGAATCAAGATATTTGATCAGTGAGAGGAGAGACGCCGAGGTTCCTTCTTCGAGTGGACAGAATAGATAGAGCAATAACTTCTTTTTTTTTTTTTATATAACCTCTTCTTTTCACTCTCTCTCATACCTTTGACTTATTTTTTCCATCATATCACAAGCATATACACCAACTTGAAATTATTCACAACCTAAAAAAAAATGGAGGGAGTTTTAAAATTCAAAGAAGGAGCAGGCGGCAGTTTTTCTCAAGCCCTTCGCGCAGGCCAAGACAGAAGTTGGCACTGTTTATTAAGCTGGGGCTCTATAAACAGTAAATACGGCTCTGTGAACATTAAATAAAGAGAGGAGCCATTAGAGAACCTTTGCAATCCATGGCTTATACCATTTTTTCTTATATGATATACTCATTACCAAAAGGCCCTAAAACACCTATATTAAATTGAAATCTGGCAGCCAAAAACGCACGCATCATTCCTTCCCTTCTTCCCATTTTCAGTTTTTCTAGAACTAATGTGAGAGAGACCTCCATCAAACCTCTACTCTTCCCTATCCATTTCGTTCGTTTGCCGATGATCGTGGGTGCGTTCATTGCTATCGTTCGAGGTCTAGCTCGTTCGTTCTTCTATTCGTCCTCTATGGTTCATCATTGATCCTTACTCTTTCCTCTTCTCTTTGTGCTGTAGAGGCATTCAAATTTGCCTCTATTCTGTGTTTGTGTGCCGTCGTGGGTGAGTCGGGCCTTCTCCTCATCCCTCCATGTTTCACCGTCGCCACTGTGATTCCATTTCTCCTCTGTTTATGAGTTGTTGTGGGTTGTTGCTGTCAATCCTCTTCTTTGTTGTTCACTGTTCTGCATCGCCAGAGTCTCTTCTTCCCCTTCATTTCTTCTTTGTTTCTTGGTGAGTTCAACCTTCATTCCCCCTCTTATGTCAGTCTATGTGTATTTTGTGATCTTGGAAGTTGCTGAAAGTTTGTTTATTTTTATGTATCAATTGTTATATGTTTGTAAGGGAAATATTGATTTTCTAACAAGATTAAATTGAGATCTGAATGGATTTTTGATAAGTACACCTTTTTGGAAAGCATAATAAATTTCTAAATGTTTTAGAATTGTTGAACAAGAGATTGGAAGAGTAGAAGTGTGGTGCTATAGTTTGAATATTGATATCCACGAGGTATTTGTCAAAATGTGTAGAAGAGCCCAGATGGAGAGATCAAGCATATTTTATTGTATGAAGGAGCTTTGTATTATAAGTGAATATAGTGACACAAAGCGTTTGCTAACATGTGCGACAGAGGAATTTGATGGGAATAGAGTAATTAAATATATCTGTTATATGAATGACTGAAATTTGGGTTTAAATAGTTCAAGTTCTGCGTTGAAAACTTTGAAAACATTAAGATTGTTTGAATAGATAGACACACGGTGTGTGTATCTCCACACGCGGAAGCTTAGGTCACCGAAATGATCCTTTACTAGTGCCTAAAATGGAAGAATGATAGTTTTTCCTTTCGATTTTATAATATTAAGTTCAATGATTAGCTATGGTGATGTATATTAGTGATTAATGTCAATGTTGCTTTCTACATGAAAAAAGTGGGTTAAGCTATCTTTCTTTTAAAGTTTGTCATGCATTTGTAGTGGGGAGGATCTAGTGAGCTATTTAAATATAACCTTTATAGCTTGTTTGGTTTGATGCAGTGTAAGAAGATTACCTGTAATCGTGATGCATTACATGATTTCAGCTGTTTGGCTGGCACCAGATAATGTAAAAGGCATTACATTATACACTGTAAAGAGGATTACATCAATAACCCTATGGAATCCCCATTACAACCACATTTTATATCAAAATATCCTTCCTCATATAACATACTAAACAAACATATGTAATCCTTATTACATTACATTTCATTCCTTAACATTACATTACATTTCCTTTGATTCTTTGAACCAAACGGGCTATTAATAATTTAAGAAGTTTGGGTTGTTGAATATCTCTTGACAATATATGAGGTAGAGTTACCATTAAAGAAAGTTATTTGTTCTTCTTGTCTAGGTGATAGAGTAGTTAAAGGGCAATTCAGAGTTGTATAGAGGGGATATATTGTTGTCTTGGAGTTTATCAGGTAAGTGAATAGCGTTCCAATAGCTCGTTAGCAAATTTATTTTCATAAACATATTGATTCGCCATATTATTGTGTCCTCTATTTTATTTATATAATTATTTTTATTCTGCAAGAATAATGATAAAGTATTTTACTTTAATCATTTAGTCATTTATTTATTCATTTATTTTTATGGTTCATAATGTTAATTTTATTATCAATTCTCATACATGAAAATATTTTCATTATATTTTATTTTATAGAAATAGTTGAATTCATTTTTCAATTGAATATCTAAAAGTGTCTCCTCTATTAGAAATGTTGAAAATGAAAGATATATTGATTTTATCGATCCATGCATGTTTTATTTTAAAATGTGGGATTGAATTGAATCAGAACACTGATTGATAACGATAGTCCTATTAGTTTTTAGTGCGCTATGGTACACTTAGCTAATAAAGTGCTTATAGAAGGTGCTAGTCTCATGCGCAGGTCAACGCACATGGAATAGAGGGATGAATATTTTTAAGCATCATGCTCATGTTTGTTTCGTGACTCTTGTCATGCTTGTTATTTGTGGCCTCCTGCAATGCTTGTCTCGTGGTTTTTAAGTCATGATTGTTAGTTACTTATTTTTGTGAACTGTGTGTTTACGTTCATTAGTTATTTACTCTTGTGGACTTTGTATCCACTCTTGTTAATCGTTTTAATTAAGTCCTACAAAGTATGAAAACTTGAAACTTATTGTCTTTTAAATTGGTCATGCTAAACAAGCTATTTGCTTGACTGTGCATAGATTTCTCTTTTTGTAAAATGAATTATATAATTCAGTTGTTTAAGGCAAAAGTCATAATTTGGAAGTTGGACTTGATGTTTTTTTTCCCTTAGTCAAATTGGTTTTTATTTGATTTACATATGTTTATAAGAATATTTGAACAATGCAACTTGTTTTACTTTTATTATGATAATGATTATTATTGTGAAATTTATAATTTCTTTATAAATATTGTCTTCCTCTACTTTTTTTAAATCTAAATTGGAGCATGATGATGACACAAATGGGTTAGAATTTATGAGTTAAATTAATTTTTGTTTAAATTGGTTGCTATTGAATAATTGGTTAGGATGAAATTGGAAGAAGAGAGCTTAGATATGGAACTTAAAGATTGATGCTTATAAGATGTTTGTTAAAATGTTTGTTAGAGGAAGTGATTGATTGTGTATTTCCTAAAATTTCATTAAATTCCTTGAAAAACATAATTAGTTTGGATGCTATTATCTTGAGAATTGATCTTAGTATTGTGTACAAATTTTGATTATGAAAGTGATATGTTATTAGTTCAAGTCTTTGGAGCTATGGCTTTGGAAGGATTTTTATGTGTAAGGTCTTGATATTAAAAAATTTCAACTCTATTATGCCTAAATTGTGATATCAGCAATGTTGGAAGGAAATTATTGAATTTATTGATAGTTATTTCAAGTCTTAAAATGATTTTTAGGGTATTTGGAAAAGTAGAAATGTGATTGGAGTTAACAGGCGATATATAAAATAGGGTCATTGTTAAAGAGTGTTGTTGTTTTGTTTTTTTCCTTAGACAGTAGAGTAGCTAAAGGCTTTTGAAAGGTGCTTAGCAGGAAAATCCATTATTTTTGGAGCTTATCGGGTAAGTGGATAGCGTCCCAACTGATATTTTAATAAAATTTTTTATTGAAATATTACATTTTTATACAAATCTTTTTTACAGCAACAAATGTGATTATTGGATATTGTTAATTAAAGTACTTTAGTTTTGTGAAGTTATCTTTACTAGATTTGATAATTTTAGTTTATTAGTAAATACAAGTTTGGATTTTAATTATGAAATTTTCATTCTAGAAATTATTGAATTGCTACGAAAAACAATTCATATGAGTTTGATATTAGAAATGAAAATTTTATGTAATAGTGATCATATTCTCGCATGTTTGAAATTGGTTTGAAAATAAATTTCAAGGGGGCTTTATACAGAACACTAGTTACTAACGGTAGTTTCGTTAGCCCTTGGAGCACCATGATATACCTAGCTAGCAGGGTGTTTATAGGAGGTGCTAGTCCCGTGCGATGGCCAACGCACGTGGAACGAAGGGATGGTTATTCGTGAGCATGGTACTCACGTTTGTTTTGTGGCTTCGACTGCATTTGGTTACTTACTCTCGTGGACTGTGTGTCCACGTTTATTTTCGTGGCATAAGCCGCGTTTGGTTATTTGCCTTCGTGGACTGTATGTCCACATTTGTGAACTGTTCTGATAAATCCCCAGAAATTTAAATTTTTATTTAATTGATGATTTCACATTCTAATGGTTTTCAATTAGCAAACGTTGTTATTTTCATGTATA